ATCTCTCTATCTCTCTCTCTCGCCTCTCTCGCCTCGCTCATCGCTTCTTCTTCTCCTCTCTCTCGCGCGCGCGCACGTGTGTGTGTACGTGTGTGACTATGGGAGCCTATGCACGGAAAAGTTCACTTCCGGAGCCGACCTCTCATCTGACCACATGCCCTGTCGGCATGATAAAGCTGAATCCATACCTAACCAACCGACCTGACGGTAAAGTATAGCTGAATCCAGCTGACACGACTGGCGGTGCCGGTATAGTATGGCCTAATCTATAGCGAACCGACTGGCCTGTCGGTATAGTATAGCTAAATCCGTAGCTAACTGACTGACCTGCTGGCATAGTTATAGCTGAATCCATAGCTAACCAACCGACCTGTCGGTAAAGTATAGCTGAATCCAGCTAAGTGACTGACCTGCTGCATAGTAACTGAATCCATAGCTAACGATTGACCTGCTGGCGTAGTATAGCTGAATCCATAGCTGATCGCCTACCCAGGCCGTAGGTTTGCTTGCATCGACCTTGTGCTGTCTGCACCTGAGTCCGGACCTGCCCTTGTGCTGTCTGCACCTGAGTCCGGACCTACCCTTGTGCTGTCTGCACCTGAGTCCGGACCTGCCCTTGTGCTGTCTGCAGTTGAGTCCGGACCTGCTCTTGTGCTGTCTGCACCTGAGGCCGGACCTGCCCTTGTGCTGTCTGCACCTGAGTCCAGACCTACCATTGTGCTGTCTGCAGTTGAGTCCGGACCTGCCCTTGTGCTGTCTGCACCTGAGTCCGGACCTGCCCCTTTGTACCTCCGTGGCCGAATCTGGACGTAACCTTGCCTTCCGCCTGAGACAAAAGTGATGCATGTGACCGCCTGCGCCGTCCGGCGGCAGGCTCCACGTGCCCCATCGAGGGCTTGTCGGTGCGAGGCCTGCTGCCCCAGACGGAGCACTACATCACATACGAGGGCTCAACCACGCTCCCCGGCTGCTGGGAGACCGCCACCTGGATTCTCAGCAACAAGCCCATCACGTGACGCCACATGAGGTACGCGGCCTCGTCCTCAATGATCAGCCTCTGCCACATGTCGTTCTCGCGGGCGACAGATTGACTTAAGGCTCGTGACGAGCTTGTTTGTGTTGTTGCGATACCCAAAAACTTATTCCAGAATCGTTGGGTGTTTGACGCGAGTGAACACATTGCGCCGCGGTTCAAAAATTATTTGAATTGGAAAAACACACACACACACACACACACATATATATATATATATATATATATATATATATATATATATATATATATATATATATATATGTGTGTGTGTATATATATATGTATATATATATATATATATATATATTATATATTAGTGTGTATATATCTATATATATATATATATATATATATATATATATATATATGTAAAAGACGCATATATACCAATCAAGTTATCTAACTGTAAGGTGCAGCCCTAGGCTTAGGGTATTAAATGTACTGTTTTTGTTAGTGTTTTGTGTTGCACCAATTTGCATCCACAAATGATTCAAGCTTTAACGAAATGCGTCGAGGACGCAAGAAATGCGTTAAATGAATGCATGAACATGTTAATGCGTAGTGTAGTGCCTGTGAAAAGCATGTGCGGGCACAGTTTGACGATCTAAATGTTTGCAGCTTCGCATCATGCAAGGTCTAGTTCAGGGCTCTAAAGATGAGACAAAAGGACTGCTGGGAAATAACATGCGACCGCTGCAGCCGGTACACCACAGGACTGTGCGCACCAACGTCAACTTCTCCAATGCTGGACAGGTCAGCAATGCATATCAAGTACTAGATGCCCTCGCGGATACCACACGGTCATTCAAATTGATATCACAAGTGCTTGAGGGTTGGCTTCGCTAGGCAACGCAGCCGACTCCTTGGCATAAAAAGCCCTTCACGATGCGTAAATGTGGAATTATAAGCCTATAGCCAAAGGTGATCTATGAGCGGGACAGGGTAAGCTGCGTGAAGTGATATGGTGGCGAATAGAGGAAAGTGATCGGCGTGACAAATACATATTGACCGCTTCCCTGCACGAGACACGTGAAAGGTCCCACCACAAATCTGGCACCGCACGATTTCCCGTTCCATTCTCCACCAATATCAGCGCGGTTTCAAACAGCTGCTCGGCTGTTTCGCGCTGTTCACGTATTCCCGCCACCCGTGCAAAACCAACAGACACTATACCTTGCAGCATGTGACGCGTGCAGCCTGCCGGCCGCACCCTCACGGAGCTTGACATAGCACGCTGTCACGTGCACACTGGTATCGTATTCAAGTTAATAGCACCATTCAGCAACCCGCCGTTCGGCTCAGGCACAACGCGACATAAAATGAGACGGACGGACGGACGGACAGGCGGATGGGCGGACGGATCCTAGAAAATCGTATAAAGATAAAGGATGGCAAGTCAGTCGCTTCTGGCCGTCCAAGTTACAGTTTTAGTTGCTAGGGTGTTGACACAGCACATTGTAAAATACACTTTCCTTTTCAGAAACTGTGTCCGTCCATGCAACATCAGATGTTCTACAAAGGTACGGATGACCGGGCGGGAAATCGCTACTTTCTTGATAGCGCCGTCGAAGAGCATGAGCAACTGTAGTTATGAGATGCGCTCAGTGCCGATTAATGAATAAGGTCGTTCTCAACATTGTGAGCAGCCAGTGCATGAAGCATGATCTAAAAGCGACTCATGCAAAATTTAAATAACGCTTGTTTTGCAAAGTAACAAAACAACACAACTCCAATAAAATAATATATTGTGTACATGCTGTCCCATACTAATCATGCCGTGCCTGCGTACACCTAAGCAGGCAAAGTGTGGCTCATTCGTAAGCTGTAGAGTAGAATGTTTAAAAGCTACGAAGAGGACGGTGTGCGACTGTGCTAATGTTTTCCTCGCGTTTGCAGCCAACTGGCCAGGTCGGTGACCTGCGCACCGACGACAGCCGCGGCCTCGGAGCGGAGCCATGCGGGTCTTAGATGCGAACTCAACAGCGGCGAGTTATTTTGTCCCAGGTGTATTGAATGCACTGTGCTGTTCATATCATGGAGCGTTGTGGCAGGTATTGCCTTTTTGTAGCAATAAATGTGCGTAAGTGTGAGACAGTTGATGTGGCTGTGTGTGCAATGTTACTTGAAACACTTGTGCGGCCGTTGATGTTGCTGTGTGTGCTAGACGATTGGAAACATGTATACGGCGTCCCGAAACCTTGAGTTTCATTTCCAGTAATGCTAAATAACCAGGAAACCAGCTTCTACAATGTCTCTTTAAATTACCGAGTCATCGGTTTCAAAAAGGTGTCAAAGGATATCACTGTCCGACATTCTCATAATTTAGCCGTGTGCCATGTTATCACAACAGTTGCGGGGTGTACTTTAACAAAATGCTATTATTTCCGTGTCTGGAAGAATAATATGGATAAAGTTGGTTGTATTCTGTGGTTTGAAGAGTGCTTCGCATGAAAACTACAATCAATCTGTGAAAAAACAGCAGTTGAGAGCTGCGGGTGATGAAGCAGTGACTGATATTTGTGGATGACATGTGCAGTATTTCATCATCATCATCATCATCATCATCATCGAAAGTCAAAAAAGGCATATTACATAGCATGTTCAGCGTTAGCGTTTTGTACTTAATTAATCTATGTCTCACCAGTTAGGTTTACTTTCAATTATGCACTGCTATGTCAATGCAGTTGCCTGGCACGGTGAGGGATACCGGTCCTAGATCATTCGTGCTGAGCTGTACGACCCTACATAAAAACTCATTCATTGTTAGTCAAGTAGCTGAAGTACCCTGTCAAAGTTCAACATTAAGCCAGCATTGATGCATGTATATACGGTAAAGTACTACGACTTACCCGCAGCATTGTACTACTGCAAAATCAAAACCAGGGCTCTTCTCTCAGTGAATGAACCAAGGATACCCAAACATGAGCTTTGTAGCTTGAATTTGAAGTAGTTTACTTCGCCATTCGACAACGCAAAATCTAAAAGAAAAAACATGAGCAAGCTTAGGTCTAATGAAATGAATCACTTCCTTGACTAATGTTGCTTGCTGTTCTCATGGACACGACGAAAGCTGAGGCGACGCGTGAGGGATGGGTGAGGGAGGATACGCCATGGTGAGAGTCAGGACCGCATGCTGGGTAAACTACTGGAACTGCTAAGCATCATATGAATATCATACGAAAAATTAAGCCTTCCACGGCCACCACGTGAGTCAGCTAGAGCCAGAGCCAGTGACGGAACTTTACCGAAGGATGTATCTGTAAGATACGTGCTGAAGGTGCTTATCCGATATAATTACTCTGAACAATATGTCGGGATGGGCCGTCACCACGAAGACTGCATTTTTTGGAAGGGGCAAATGAACAGTGGGATTTTTTTTGCCATGTTATTTGAAGCACTATTCCACATTTGACTAAATCTCTCACTGATCAGAAATAGCATTCCACTAACACTTATTTTATCCTCGTTCAAGCCCCATTATACAAAAGGCTAACTGGTTGCATCTTTTTGTTGCTTTTTCCAAACGCAAGATTAAAGCAGCCTAAAACTGCGGTGAAATCTGAGTTTGTGGTGGGCTAATTGAGTCGATACTTGGAATCGATCATGTTGTTGAGACTCTCCCACACTATAAAGTCCTGAAAGGCCTTAGATCGGGGAAAGGAGCACGCACGCTGGCATGGCTGAATCACAGGTTTGGTGCTGTGTTATTCTACACAGAGGCGACGCCAGGATTAGCGACGGAAGCCTCTCCTGTGGGATTTTAGGTTTGAGTGGGAGCCATGCAGTAGGCAGTGGATGAAATCGTTGTTTTTATGAAGTTCATGCGATAAGCTCGAGCCTCATGGATGGTGTCAGTTCACTGCATGCACATTACATGCGCATTCAGCATTGACTGGGGCCTCGATTACAGCTTTCCACCAAGTACCAAAAGGGGTTACCGTTGCCACAGAGCGACAGCGGAAACCGTCCTCAAATCCCTACGGTTTAGGAAACGTCGAAAACATGCTAGTTTGCACGTCAGCCGCTAGATGACGCGCATGTTCTCATCGTATGGTGAGCTGTGCCGCCCTGCGTCGGAACGATGCGGCGCAGTATCTGGCGTAACGCTATAACGGCGGGCTTTCACACTCTGCTCGAGACTACAACGAATGGCCGCACGACCGGGCCTGCGAGCACGCTAGCACGGGCTTCAGACAGCTGAAACGTCCCGACCCGTGATCCTCACAGAAGTCAGCGTCAGGTATTAGGCTGTGACGTCACTGGCGAGTCCAGCCGCTCGAATCGGTTCACCCGGGCGTGCGGAGACGACCAAAGGTGGCTTCATTCCGCAAATAAGCCATTGGCGACTTATATGCCCATCAACGATTAAAAACAGTTTCCAAATATCACTATTCAGCAACGTTGTCTGTTTGCAAGCAAGATAATTCATGTCGTTCATTGCACACTATCGCTTGAGTTCAGAGTGTCATCTTCTCAAATCGACCGGAGGCTCAGCCGTACACATCGACAGAACTTATCCCCAAACCTTTGTTTCTTTCCGGATTTCTCTGGAACTGTAATTTGTGTCCTCAGCTTTTACCTTTTTCCAATATTATGTAGACTTGAACCTGTCTTCCTGCGGAGGAATGATTTGCTATTTCAAATCAATGTGAACTTCTTTTTGTGAAAAGCTTAGAGTGGGGTGAAATTAACAGAAAACATATTCACATAAACAAGACAGTAGCATTAGCCTTATTCCTCGGAGAGAACTAGGAGAACAGAGATATAGTTGGGTTGATATTTCGGCAGCATGCCTTTATCAAAACAATAGCAGAAGTGAATATCTCTATTCCCCTGGCTTTTCTCCGATGAATAAGGCTTACACTACTGTCGTATCTACTTGAATAAGTTCGTCGCTAATGCACTGAACGAGCTACGAAAACATATTCATATATCACGGTAAGAGATCACTAATGACAACCGCTGTCACTGTTCCTGTTGCATAACCACCACAGCCACGAAAATGCGACAAATACGAATGCCGCTGTTGTGGAAAACATGCGTTAAGTTTTATCTGGGGCACCCTGCGCTTTTGAAGGCTGCTGCATGTTGCAGTCAATTTTACTTTATCTCAATCCATGCGTTATCATTTGAAAAAACTTGCAAAAGAATTGCAGGCGGGCTTGATATCTGACGGAGTTATCAGGACAAAAACATTAGCTATCTTCAGGGTAATATTTGACACAAAATTAGCATGATACCAATAGTGATGTGCTAAGATACCCACTGCCTAGTATACCAACAATAAAGATCATTGTCCTGTATTTGCTGAACATAGTACTCCCTCTATACTCATACGCATTGAGGGAGCTCAGAGGAGCATTGGGGGGAGGGGGGGGGGGGGGGGCTCAAGTCATCATTGGAGAGGGGGCGTGGTCTCAAGCCACCGAAATTATATAAACGAACATCCGTGCTTGTATTATTGTGTAATTTTTGCTTTGTAGGGGCAAACCATTCCTGACTTTCGTTACATTAGGTGGCAATATGTTAACAACAGCTATTTAAATTTCAGCCGAATGGTGTTCAATGAGGCTTTGGTTACCAGCATAACAGGAAGACTAGCATTCCTGGTTAACCATCCATTTACTCTACCCTTATTAGAAGTGGTGGTAGCTAACATGCTGATGTAATCATTGGATGGTGAGCGCCATGTTCGACAAAGTCTCGACTAAGGAGATCACATGGTTACCAGATCACTGAAAAAATCACCAAGGCTTTGGCTTCGTCACAAGAAAACTAATGCAACTCTAAAGTAACACTAAGCTAAGGTAAAGCTAGGATTTGCATTGTTTTGCGTACAGCAAAAGACCGTGTCAAAAAGGGAGTTTTGACACTAGACCTAAGCGCGTGCGCATTGCCACATTTCGTGACAGGCACAAAATTGCACCGAAGTGCTAATCTGCGTTGGTTTAGCATTTGTCACGAGACTTGTCTCATCAAACCTTGGTTGCGCACTGACCAGACGACTGACGTCCATGGCGCGTGCACGCGTGGGGCCTCGCGTGCTGGTCATGGACGTGTGCTGTTGCAGTATTCGAAGGCATGTCGCAGCAGCATTCACACGTGTTCGGTCGGACGCAGCTAACATTCAGTGGTGAGTTAGCGGTGCGTGTCTGGCTGGAATACGATTGGTCGATCTGGCAAGGAAGTTATGCCGAATGGCACGTCTGCATGTTCTCTGAGATACGCCCATGCCAAGAACACGGGAGTGAACAGCAGAAGGAAAAACATCGGTATGAAGGCCAAGTACGCAAAGGTCCAAAAGAACACGATAGATCCTAGAAGAGATTAGAGATGTCTGGCCTTTACGCATGACAAGATCAGGTGATGAAAAGCAGTCAGTCTTCTTATGCAGCATTCAAGAGGAAGACTGTTTAAAACCTCAAACTGATTTGCCCTACAGGGGTAAAAGACACATGTTATTTTCACCATCGCAAAGTTTTGAAGAAGAGATGATATTAGCTGTTTTCACCATACATTAATGCGGTAAAAATTGCAATGAAAAACACGTCTTTATAACGTCTTAAGTATATACTATACAATCTACCAAGAAAATAATTGTTTTATGCAATTTCATTGCCATTCACGAGCTACACAATGGGTTGCCAATTAGTAAAAAGTGTTATGTGAAAAGAGACACGTTGTGGATCATTATTCTTTAGTGCATTCCTTTAGTTCACACACATTCAAGGAGAATACCAGGCCCGGCAATTAGCCGTGTGGATCGACCCAGGGTGTTGGATGCTGGCTGCGCCATTACTGTTTACATTTGTGCTGCGTGTGACGAGACCACCTTTAAGGACCATTTCATTCAAGGAGTTGGAATCGTAGATCATGTTTAAGTACGAACACTATAAATGCTGCATGCCTTCGAATAGCAACACAGCCACGATAGATGTGTTTGTTTTGTTGCGTCTGAGTCAGACATGCCACCGAACGTTTCTAAAAAGCTTCGATAAGTTGTGGAAAGTGAGGATCTAGCATCATACCTGCTAAGGTAAGCATGATAATGATCATAGCCAGCCGGCCGCAACTATATCTAAATATATTATTTGCAAGCATGTCTTTAAATCTATAAAATAATTCCAAGTTAAAAATTGCGGACAAAAGTTGTGTTGCTAGAAAATTAACACTGAAAAATTATTTTTTTTAGGTTTCGCACCATAAGTTATCGTGTAATCGGATATTATGTCTCGTATCTCTTTCATGCTTTTTACGCCTAGGGATACACATGTTTAAATAGGATGTGACGTTAAAAGGTGTGTGATCCATAAATGCCTAGGAATGTGCGTGTGGGATGCATCAGATTTCCTGATGCACTCAGTCGAGCTGCATGATGCCGTGTTTTTGCGATAAATCCCGGTTGGTATACGAATCATAATT